GCGAAGTCCGCTGGGATCCGAACTTCTCGTGCAAGGTTCCTCGTGTGGTCGTCAAGTTCGGACCCAGGCGTACTTCAATTTTCGGGTGGTGTGGGTTCTGACTGTGGGGTTTTCTGGCAGTCGATGGATAGCCACAACTTCGGATTCTTAAAAATGTGAAGTCCGCCGGGATGCAAACTTCAAGAAATTTTGGGACGCCGAGTTTGAGAGACACCTTTGTTTCTCCCGCGCAGTCTCGCCAAATTCTGATTACGACGAACATGAGGTACCCAGCTCTTGTGGGACATGATTGCGGCTGGCCGGCCGACCGGCAGATGTGAACACCGATCAGGTCGACCGCCCGAAATCAGATCTTCAAGCGTTCGTTCCGTCTGATGCCAAGGGTCGCAGATCGCGAAACACGACGTGTTTACGAGTGTCTTCATGCCCGTGTGTGTCGTTTGGCATGTGCGCATGGTGTGTAGTGTGCGTAATGGAGGCGACCTTCTCGACACCACGAATCGTGGAGCTGATCTTCTCGACACCACAGACCATGAGTCCCTAGACGCACATTCGCTTGGCAGAACCGTTTCCTCCTTGCGCGCGATCCGTGCGGTATTTTAACGGTGTAACTACGATCCACGGAGTGACCGAAGAGGACTTCGACGAGGACCCCTGGATGACTGTCGTCCCGTGCCTGGAGGGGCATGTTGACGGCTGGTGCGATCGGAATTGGGCCACGATGGAGAGTCGTTGTCCTTGGGTAAGCCAGTATAAGTTCGCCAACATGTTGGAGTTCGGGAACCTCATCCCGGTGTCTGAAGCTGTCCTCGGACACAAGTTCCTGAACCACATGCGCAGAGCACTGGGCTGCATTAGCCACCATTTCAGCCGCCTCGAGTGCCACTACGTCAGGTCGTCGCCACGAACTTGGGGAGGCCCGCGGAAACAAGAGTTGGTGGACTGCGCTCGCCACTGCTCATTCCTAGAGCAGTACCCGCTCCACTGCCCCGGGAATTCTCCACAAGCTGTGTCATACTGTTGTGTGCGATTGACTGTGTCCGGGTCTGATTTCGCCAGAATTCTATGTGTCGTTGCTTCGAACAAGAGCAGGAAACTCGTCGTTGCAGTTGTGCTTGTATCACGCAACGAGGTGGTGATTGAGGGGTCTAAATTCGTGGCGACGCTCGGGCCTGAACGTGTAGATGGGTGGCGTGATTTGGTTATAGTAGGGCGGGTCCGAAACTTTTCGATGCATCGTGAGGTCAAGGAGAAAGTGTGTGATATACGGGACTGTATAGGGAATTCCTTAGCACGAGCGGGTGTGTTTGTTAGGATGAAATACATGTCCGTCTTTTCCAAGAGGGCATCGGTAGATGAACCGAAGATCCACATATACGGATCATCAATGAATGCTTTGTATGGCTTCGGTTCACGACGTCGTCCCAGGGGAACCCCGAATGTCGACACATCTGAAGGAAAGGTCTATCTCTGACGGCGACTGACGCCGTCGCCTTCACTGTCGCGCCCCGGCGAAGTTCGGATCCCGGTGAACTTCGCGTTTTGGGGTGTGCGTTGATTTGGCTTTGGTACTGTTGGCGTCGGGCGGGCCGCACGAACCAGCGGGGCCCACGGACAGGGTCTTGCTTGAGGCCGCAGGCCCGTCCGACCAGCCTTCGAGCTACAAGTGCTTGTCGGAGACCAAAATCCAGCTGGGTGCGGCGTTCATAAAAGATTTGCGACCAGTTCCGCCTGGGCATGTTCGCGATCTGAGACCGCCGCCAACCGAAGTGCAGTGTGCCCTGTCCGTGTTCGGTTGCCGCCCGTCCTCCATCGACATGAGCCAAACAGTCGATCATTGTGGTTGTGAAATGCCAAAAACACTCTTAGGGATCCCAGTCGCAGAGTTCGACGCTGGCCGAACAATTCTGAAGTTCTCCCTCCAACACCTTGCTCGGACCCCGTCTTGCGCCTAACCTCATACGTGATCCGGTATTTCTCTTTGTGTGTCTTTCTCGAAGCGTCCTTAAGTTCGGATCCCGGCGAACTTCCTGTGACGCCTGTCTATTGGACACGCACTGGTCTTCCTGATCCCCCGTGGATTGCGACAACAGTTTCTGTCCGCCCTGCTCCACACGTTCCGTTCTGCCCCACCAGGGACCCATACAATGTTGTCACGGCTGCTGCGCATATCAGAAAAAGTTCGGATTTCGGCGAACTAATCCTTCTCAACCGGTCTCTCATGTTTGTGTGTCATTCCAAGGTCGTGTTTTTTTTGAGTCCATGGATCGTTTGTCTCTGATGCCGTCTCTGCCTGTCGCATCGTCCTGAAGTTTGGATCCCGGCAAACTTCACGATTCGGGAGGTGCGTTGGTTTGTCTTCGGACATGCCCGTCCGCTGGTTCGCACAACCCGCCCGGCGACGGGGAGAGTCCGTCTCCGACTTCTGGTTTTGATCAAATGCAGTTGCGGAGTGTGTTCGCTCGAGAACGGTTCTGGAACGCCGACTGCATGGGCTGGCTGTTTCTCTCTTTCTTTCGCACCATCTTTTAGTCTGGACCCGGGCGGACTTTGCGTGCTAGTCTGTCCGGGTTCCGAGTGCTGGGCGGAGGACACTGCACCGTCCAACGCGAGCTTCGAACATGACCGGCAGTCCTTTGGTTCGGATCCCGGCGAACTTCTCGATTTTCCCTATGCGTTGGTATGTCTTCATTCTTCCGGTGCGCCGTCTGCCGCATAAACAGCGCTTGATCCACGACACTCTGCCTCTCCGCCTCGTGCGCTATTGAAATTCGGATCTCGGCGAACTACCCATTCTAGCCGTTCCGAAGTTGGGTTCCGGGGTGTCTTTGCGTGCGGATTTCGCTGCGAGCCTGCGTTGCCGTGTGCCGACGACTGTTCTGTTCCTTATGTGTTTTCCCAAACATTGACTGCATGGTGCGTGGTGTGATTTGGGTTGTCGTTCGCAGACAGGATGTCTTCTTCAAAGGGCGAGGTGGAGCCAACGGGGTCGTCTAGTGCCACGAAAGGGTGGTCGAACCAGTCAAAGTCGAAATGGTTCATCGACTGGTGCTGTGGAGACACTTCCAACCCCACTACGCAGCCATGTGGTCCTGTCATCTTCGCCGATGACGACAAAAGGCGTCGAGTGCTTGGGGCCGTCTTGGGGTGGGAGGACGCGAAGGGGGGCCGGTGACATTTCCGTATGGAAAAGGTTTATGGCTCCAAGGGCAACGTCGTTGCCAATTCGAAAGGGGTGTTGTTGGACCTCGAATTGTGTGAGGGGTTCGGAGCGGGTGCTGTGGACACCCCGTTCTACAGAGAACTTGTTCTCGTGGGTGGTTTTGTTTTGGCGCGTGAGTTTTTCGACAAGTTGGAGGACAAGAACATCGTTCTCGACGTCCCGTGCGACGCCGGCCCCTCCCTGGAGCTCTCGTTTCCGTTCAGGCCGTGCGGCGGTTGCGAGTCAAGCGGGGTGGCGGCAGAGGGCAGTGATCCGGGTTTTGGTCCGGCTACTCAGCTGCACCGTGGCGAGAGCCGGGGACAGTTCGACGGCAGCGAGGACGAGGGGCCTGCAGCGCCGTTGAGGGACAGGTGGCAGTCTGTGTTATCTATTCGAGGGGTCGACATTGGCGATCTAGTTCAACGGGAGAGTGCGGAACCTACAGGAAAGGTGGCAGCCTCTTCGGAGGTCGACTTGGAGGCGAGCGAGGGCCAGAGTGTGGATGAGGTGACCGCGGGCGGCCTGGGCACGCAAGGCACTCCGTAAAAGCGGAGGGGGGATCGCACAGACGAGTTCGTCGGTTCTGCGAAGAAGCTGAAGAGCAAGGCCCCTAGGACTGCGGGAGAGAAACGAAAGGGGACCGAGGGGGAGGAGGGCCGGCAGGTTGCCAAACGGCCGGCTTCGAGACAGAAGCAGCCTGCGTCTGGAACGTCTTCTCCACCGACGGAAAGGCCTCCAATCGACGTTGATCCGTCGGGTACTTCCTCGAGTACAAAAACGACGTTCGGACAAAGAGGGAGTTCGAGGTTAGCCCTGCGCAGGTCATCGACCTCAGACAGTGGGAGGACCTGTACAACCAGCGGTCCCTGGATCCCGTGCTCGTGGAAGGGATCAAAGAAGCGATGCGGTTGGCGTTCGAAAACAAAGCAACGTCATACGATTTGCCTACCCTGAAGCTGGCACCGCTGGGGCTTGATAAACCGACTCCGGGGACCAAGGCAGAACGTCTGAGGCCGGAGGAATGGAGGGATGAGCTGGCGGGGCAGTACTACTACTACGCGGTGTGTGGGCAGCACAACGCGGCTGCAGCGAGGTCGCTGCTCGGCAGCGAGGTGGCCATGAAATACAATTTCGAGTGGTGGCCTGCATGAATGCTCTACTTTTCGGACGACGACTTCGAAGGGTACTTCCTTGTCAGTTCCCAGGACAACAAGAAGGACCTGAAGGCGCCCCCGAGACAGCTGAAGCTGTCAATGAAAGACATTAGGTGGCAGTGGAAGCGCGACGGGTGCCTGCGTGCTGTTATGGGAAACCCCAGCGGAAAACAGGCTCAGGTCCGAAACTGGCGTGAATTCTGTGAAGTCGCGCTCAATATGACGCCGCACAACAACTTGTGGACGCTGGCAGATCAGAAGGGCGACGACGCCATCAGGAAGCAAGGCGCTGCCGTGCGTTCCTATTTCCCGCTGGCGATGGCAGGGGAGAATGTATGAAAACTAGCCGTCGACTTTTTAGATAAATGGGAGACTGGTAGATTGCTCGGCCACGATGGCGCAAAGTGGATCATGCGGAAGAAGAAGGTCAAAAATGTGAAGCCCGGGGTTGCCTACGTCGAGAACGACAACACGGGCAGGAAAGAGGTCGTGTACAACGTCCCTGTGGACCCGCCGATAAAGAAAGGCAAAAAGGAGAAAGAGGAGGGCAACTGGTTCGTGCAAGTGCCTGAGCCAGACGCACATTGTTGGAAAGCGATGGAGTCGCTGATCGACAACAAGAAGTGCCGCGTCTTGAAGAAGGTTCTCGCTTGCGAGGTGGTTTGGGTCCAGGCCGGCTCCGCGGCGTTGGCGAAGCTCGGGAAGCTGAGCGTCTTGGATATGGTTTATTTGGTGAAGTGCGACCGGGTGCTGGTGCGTCTGTGGAACTACTACCAAGTCAAGCACGAGAAGAGGTCGGACGCGGATTGGAGCCAGAGGTGCCCGTTCCTGAAAACAAGGTCCGCAATTTTCAAACAGTTTGAGAGTCGTGATTTGGATGCAGAGTTGTGGGACGGGAGCAGGAAATACGTCGCTGACTCCTCGTTGTTCAAGGACTGCCCGCCTTACATGGGCTGCGACGACGACCAATCCATCGAGGCGACGGAGAAGTTGGCCGGTCACAAGAAGCTGTCCGTCGACTGGAGGAATAAGGTCCTGTCCGTTTTGACTCGCAGTAGACTGAAGAGTCGCGAGATCACACTTGCCGAAGGAATTGTGCACATAAAATGGAAAGACACGGGCGACGTGACATCCATCGCGCCATTCGGCAACGACCCCTTGGAGGCAGACATAAGGTGTGCGGAGGTGAAGGAGGCGGTGGTTGCCACAAAGAGTCACACGTTCGTCCTCGATCTCTGCGAACCGGTGAACCTGAAGCTGTGGAAACCGCAAGCGTTCGACACTCTGGATTCCCAGCTTCAGACGTGGTGTCCGTCGCATTGGACGCTCGTCGTTTTCGTCCCGCGGCAGCAGAACCTCTCGTTTCTGGCCAGCATGAACCACCTTTCTTTCGTGAAGATGCTGGAAGGGAAGTGGGTGAGGAAGAGTCAACAGAAGAAAAGCTTCCCCGTCGGGAATAATTTGTTCACGGAAGACGACCGGATGTACATACTCTTCAAGGCGACGATTTGCACGTCCGTCGTCTACGAGGGGAAACTGCCGCCTGCCGCCGCTGCTGCAATGCGGCTGCCGCAGAAGGTTACGCAAACGGATGTGTCCGACATCCAGTTCAACCCTTGCGATTGGTCGCCTACGCGTCGGGGCAGTGTGTACGGGGACATGGAACGCAACCCCGCACAATTCGTTAATCTTCTCGAGTCCGTCACCAAGAAGGGAGAGGGTGTATGCTTCCTCGGGAAGCCACACGCGCGATCCGTGTGGGAACTGCTGAAGGCAGGACGACATGTCATCGCAATGGAAGGGAACTCCGAGCTCTTGCAATTCACAATTGATCTCGTCAAAAGCGAGGTCAATTCAGGTGCCCACATTTGCGAGTTCATGGTCGTCAACGAGTCTCGCCCTCGCGCGTGGAACAACAAAACGGACATGTGGTTTAAGTTGAGTGCGAGGAAGCGGAACAAGATATACGACTTCTTGTTCCTGCAAACGCGGCCCAAGAGAGATACTGACGCCAAGTACGTGCGCCGCAAGGATCACATGTTCACGCTGCTCGACAACTACCACGGCGCCTCCCGCATGAACGCAAAGACCTTCCTCGAGAGGTTGCAGTCCCTGTACTTCGTGGAGTCGGAGGAGGAGTTGACGTTCGGCAGTTACTCCTTGATCTCCACGGAAGACGAGGAGACCACCGGCATCGAGTTCGACGCGACCGCGAACGAGGAGGGCAGCGACACCGAAAGCCTCGACCTGCAGTACGACCCGCATCCCGGGCAGCACACAACAGGGTCGTCCTTCGCAGGTCCGTCAACAAGCCCGACATCCCTCGTGTCACCGATGGCGAAAGCGGCGCCTGGCACTACCCCGATGAAGTTGCTGCAGAGAATGCAAGCTCTGGCCTCCGACCATTGCTCACTGCGTCTCGAGTCTGACATCCCGGCCGATCATCTGTCTTGGAAGGATGCCAACATTCACTTCTTGCCTGAGCCTCAAAGTCATTCCACGGAGGCGGACTGGGGCCATGACATGATTTGGCATCCAGGAGTCATCCAGCCGGCGATCCAAAAGGGTGAGTGGATCGTGGCCGTCGGTGTCCCGGGCGGAGGATGGGTGCCTCTCCCTCGCGGGTCGAAGTCTGACTTCCTCGACGTCGCTAGAATTGCGGTCCTCCAGAAAGTGAGGGCCGAGAATGACTCTTTCGCACCCAAAGACGTGTCCGTCATTTCCACAGTCGGGCGATTGTTCGCCGAACTTCAGGACAAGCGCTGGTTGGAGCTGACGGAGGACTACTACGACCTCAATATGAGCCCCTCGAAGGGAAGGGTGGACTGGAAAATCCCCCCTCCCAGTGGGACGCATGTAAGTACAGGGTCCCGGGGAGAACGAGGGCGACGAGACTGGTGGCGGCGAAGGAGTCCCGCCTGGTTCGGAGGGCGGGTCTCAGGGCGACACCACGACAGCGGAAGGCAGCGGCGGGGTRGCGGGGGAGGCCTTCGGGCGTCAGCAGTCTACCGGTCCCGGTCCGGCAAGCCCGGCACAGTCAGCGGACATGCCCACTTCATCCGCCGGCTCGGTGATGGCGGCCTTGGTTGCTCTCCGTGCCGGCTCGGTCGAAACAGTCAAGTCCGCCGGGATCCGAACTTCAGACGCGCAGAGCTTGTCAGGAGCGGGGGTGGCGAGTCGTGATCCCAAAATGGACAGCGGTGCGGTGAGGGACGGGACTGCGCCGCCTGCGGGGGACCGCCAACCGCTTCGGTCGGAGCGAGAGGGTACGTGTGGAGGGCCCGGCGACAAGGAGACGGCGAAGTTCGTCGGGATCCGAACTTCTTCAGGCAAGGGGGGCCAACCAGGGATTGTCGTGCCGGCGGGAGGGGCTGCGTGCGGCGAGCGGGAAGGGCATTCGTCGGAATTCGACACGGGTTCGGGCGAAGTGGCTGGATTGCATGCATGGGAAGAAGGCAGGGTGATGGACAAAGAGAAGGAAGGGGATGAAGGAGACACAGGGGAGGAATTGGAGGAAGGAGGGGATGAAGGGGAGGAATAAGAGGATGAAGGGGAGGAAGGAGAGGAAGGGGAACAAACAGAGTTGGCTGGGTTGCTAGGAGGGAAGGACGGGGAAAAAGGTAAACTCGATACAGGAGACGACGAATGGACGTTCGGCGACGACGATGACAGATCTGGGGAGTCGTCTGACGGATTCGGGCAGCTGTACGGAGAACATCACGAGGAAGACGACGACTACGATGACACGACACTGGGTATGGAGACACAGGTGGTCACAAGCCTTTCTGCGGAACGTGATGACTATGAGGTCGAAGCAATGACGTCTGCCGTCGATCTCCAACAACGGTTCAACGACGCAAGTGTTGCAGTCAGCCTGAATAAACTGAGAGTGCGTATTGACATCGAAGAAGTTATCGACGGCATCCTGGGCGACCACCGCATGTCCGCGCAGCCGTTCTCTACGCCTGGTGTCGACGACCCTCTCGACGTCAAACCTTCCGGGGGATCTGTCGTGGCTTTGTCGCCGACGAACTCTCCGATGCTGCCGCCGACCATCGCCAGCGGAGGAGAATGCGAGATCGGGGGACGACAAGATGTCACATCCCCGAAAAAAACTGTCGTCGGCACTCGAACTCTCGACATGCTGGCCTTGCCCACGCCAACTTCGCCGATTAAGGAGCGGAGAGACAAACCAGCTGGTAAGCAGTGACAAACGCCACTCTGTCTGTGCGTCAGTGACCGCAGTGTCCGTCGATGCGGGGAGTTCCTGATGCCGGCATGCTACAGCCACCACTCCTTCAAACTTCCAAATACATGTGAACGACCATCCTGTGAGTCGGCCAGGTCACTGTATGAAGTACATGTGTGTTTTTGTTGAAGCGTTCTGTCACATGATGGAAGGATGGTGTTTCTTTTTCGGAATGAGTGGTGGTTTTGGTCCGCCGGGATCCGCACTGCCAAGGCCGCTGCGTAATGTGGTTACTCTTTTTGTGCCTTGATTGGGAAAAGTCCGTCGGGATCCTGACTTCATAAATGTTTGGCCTCTGCGTTTGTGGCTTGTTGAGGTTCTCCCATCTGAAAGGCGGTGGTGTCAAGGTCGAACGCACTGCTCCTTTTGTTTTCCAGCGGGGCTTGCGCGGAAGTATTCTCTGTCTCTCTCATGGCTAAACGAGGTTCTGTAATTAGATAAGTCCTGCGTCTTCTACATTTCGTGGTTTTTGAATTGTCGTTTTCGTTGGATTCGTCTTGGATTACGTATATTTATTTCCTGTTTTCTCTTCCTTCGTTTGTCCAGGGGTTGGGTCATCTTCCTGCGTCGGAAAAGTCCACCGGGATCCGGACTACAGAGATGTTTGGCTTCCGCTTTTGTGACTTGATGTGCTTTTCCCTTCTGAAGGGCGGGGGTGTCGAGCTCGAGTACACTGCTCGTTTTGTTTTGCAGCGTGGCTAATAGGAAGTTCTCTCTCTCGCACTCTCATGGCATGACGGGGTTCTGTAATTGCATAGGTCCTGCGTCTTTTAGATTTTGTGGTTCTTTTATTGTCCTTTCGTAGGGTTCTTCTTCGGAAACGTGTATTCATTTTCCGTTTTGTCTTTCGTCTGTTGTACAGGGGTAGGGTCGTCTCGAACACGGAGGCCCTCTAAATATCCAGAACACATATTGCAAACAGTCCCGGGGTTGACGACAAAACACAAGGACATGTTAAAGGCGTCAGGGGTTGATGTCGAAATCGGGAAGAAGGAGCATGCCATTGCCGAACAAAGGATTTGTGAAAACCAGAGAAAACAAAATCTCTGGTTTGCACGAAATATTAGGAAAATTTTAAAAAAATTTTCCTTCGAGGGCGGTCGGCACGCTCTCATTCGGCGTGAACGAGAAGGTGGCTGAAATACGAACAAAAAACACAATTAACAAAAGTATGACTAGGGGCTTGTATTTTAAAAAGAAAACAGCGACTAGGGGCTTGTATTTTAAAAAGAAAACAGCACAAAATAACAGTCATCCGGTACACTCTAACCTAAGCAAACCGGAAAGGCACGAATTTTCGTCATTTTTTCTGTCCCGTTTGACAACCAAATTCGACCACACTGAAATCAAACTTTTTTATGGAATTCAGTTTTTAACAAATCTGAGGTTTACGAAAAAACGTGGAATTTATCCCCTAAAAATCATAAAAATATGAAGAGATAAAAAAACATGGATAAAAGCCTTCAAATTGTATTGGTATTCATTCAAATGTTATTTTTAGACAAATGGTGAAACTGGGATATAGCCCTATAATGTCGAAGTCCAGCGTCGAAACATTTGTACAGTTCCTCGATTGCTCGCATGCGATTACTAAGAAATGTAGTTGTTTCTGAGAGTCGAAAATCAGACTTTGTGCACAACAGACTACTAACATGAAACTTTCGTACGTAGTGCTTTGTTTGCCAGTCATCGCTTCAGAATATAATATTTTATGCCTTCAAGGTTTAGCCCTATACTGATGATTTATTCTCACCAAATCATAGAGTTGAAAGATAAATTCGTAAACTATTGGTATTGAATTTGACCTCCCTTTTTTAAATGGTTATAGCCCTATAACACTGTTATCCATGTGGGAGGTTTTTGTGTTAATGAATTAATCAAACGATGAGCACACGAAAAATACAAAAAGTCCTCAAAGTCGGAAATAAAGCGAGGTGCACATCAGACTAATCATATGTTACTTTAATGTGATGTGTTTTTCTTGTCAGCATATGTTATTTATGAATTAAATATTATCTGTATTAGACGTTAATGCCCTACAGTGTTCCCCCAAATAGAGCGTACGATCATTGTGGCTGTATTTGGGGTGTCTTTCAGTCTAAATACAACTCTAATAATTGTGCGTTGTATTCGGGGGAAGACTGTAGTAACATGCTCACATTTTATTAGTGTCGAAGGTCGCAGGCCCAGTTGGTCTCAGTCCCAAAGGTAACGTCGCAGGCGAGTCAGACCAGAAGTCCAAAAGGTAGGCCCGAAAGGCCACAGCAGCAGGGGTCACGTCTGTTCAGCTTCTGCTGTGGCCTTTCGGGCCTGCCTTTTGGACTTCTTGTCTGACTCGCCTGCGATGTTTACAAATTTAAAAATTATAAATTACTAGATTGGAATAAATAAAAATAGATAAATCAAATCAATAAATATATGTAATACATAAAATTAAAATTACATGAATATGATAAAATTTAAAATTATATAAAGGTATATATCTATGTGAACATTGTAAAGATATAAATGCAAAGATATATATAAATGTAAAGATATATAAATATATATAAATATACATATATTTATATATAATGTTCGGTTAGTACATATCACCCATTCATTATGATATATATATGCATATACCGTGAATCATATTATGTCGTTTATAAACGTTAGGACAGACTCTGAGATCTTCTAAATCTCTAGCATAGGTTCGAATCCTAAAAGGCGTAATGAGAAAAACTGTTCTTTCATGTTATTTTTTTGTAAAAGGAGATTACTTTGATCTCTCTATTGACTCAATGAAGAATATATATTTACATATAAACGAAAAATAAATCTAAAATAGACAGCAATGTAGATTTATTTCTATTCAAATTGAAAAAGAAGAGATTATTTAGTTTATGTATTTTCAATTGAGTTTATGACCATAAACTCAAGTCTGTTGAACAGACGTGACCCCTGGTACTCTGGCCTTTCGGGCCTGCCTTTTGGACTTCGGGTCTGACTCAAGACTTACTCTCAGTCCCAGAGGTCA